CCTGTAATCACTGATATTTATAACTGCTTACACCTGTAATCACTGATATGTGTAACTGCTTACACCTGTAATCTCTGATATGTGTAACTGCTTACACCTGTAATCACTGACATTTATAACTGCTTACACCTGTAATCACTGATATATGTAACTGCTTACACCTGTAATCACTGATATGTGTAACTGCTTACACCTGTAATCACTGATATGTGTAACTACGTACACCTGTAATCAATGATATATGTAACTGCTTACACCTGTAATCACTGATATATGTAACTGCTTAAACCTGTAATCACTGATATTTGTAACTACGTACACCTGTAATCACTGATATGTGTAACTGCTTACACCTGTAATCACTGATATTTGTAACTACGTACACCTGTAATCACTGATACATGTAACTGCTTAAACCTGTAATCACTGATATATGTAACTGCTTACACCTGTAATCACTGATATATCTAACTGCTTACACCTGTAATCACTGATATTTGTAACTACGTACACCTGTAATCACTGATATTTGTAACTACGTACACCTGTAATCACTGATATGCGTAAATGCTTAAACCTGTAATCACTGATATTTGTAACTACGTACACCTGTAATCACTGATATGCGTAAATGCTTAAACCTGTAATCACTGATATTTGTAACTACGTACACCTGTAATCACTGATATTTGTAACTACGTACACCTGTAATCACTGATATGTGTAACTGCTTACACCTGTAATCCCTGATATGTGTAACTGCTTACACCTGTAATCACTGATATGTGTAACTGCTTACACCTGTAATCACTGATATGTGTAACTGCTTACACCTGTAATCCCTGATATGTGTAACTGCTTACACCTGTAATCACTGATATGTGTAACTGCTTACACCTGTAATCCCTGATATGTGTAACTGCTTACACCTGTAATCACTGATATGTGTAACTGCTTACACCTGTAATCACTGATATGTGTAACTGCTTACACCTGTAATCACTGATATGTGTAACTGCTTACACCTGTAATCCCTGATATGTGTAACTGCTTACACCTGTAATCACTGACATTTATAACTGCTTAAACCTGTAATCACTGATATGTGTAACTGCTTACACCTGTAATCCCTGATATGTGTAACTGCTTACACCTGTAATCACTGATATGTGTAACTGCTTACACCTGTAATCCCTGATATGTGTAACTGCTTACACCTGTAATAACTGACATTTATAACTGCTTAAACCTGTAATCACTGATATGTGTAACTGCTTACACCTGTAATCACTGATATGTGTAACTGCTTACACCTGTAATCACTGGTATGTGTAACTGCTTACACCTGTAATCACTGATATTTGTAACTACGTACACCTGTAATCACTGATACATGTAACTGCTTAAACCTGTAATCACTGATATATGTAACTGCTTACACCTGTAATCACTGATATATCTAACTGCTTACACCTGTAATCACTGATATTTGTAACTACGTACACCTGTAATCACTGATATTTGTAACTACGTACACCTGTAATCACTGATATGCGTAAATGCTTAAACCTGTAATCACTGATATTTGTAACTACGTACACCTGTAATCACCGATATATCTAACTGCTTAAACCTGTAATCACTGATATATGTAACTGCTTAAACCTGTAATCACTGATATGTGTAACTGCTTACACCTGTAATCACTGATATATCTAACTGCTTACACCTGTAATCACTGATATATCTAACTGCTTACACCTGTAATCACTGATATTTGTAACTACGTACACCTGTAATCACTGATATTTGTAACTACGTACACCTGTAATCACTGATATGCGTAAATGCTTAAACCTGTAATCACTGATATTTGTAACTACGTACACCTGTAATCACCGATATATCTAACTGCTTAAACCTGTAATCACTGATATGTGTAACTGCTTACACCTGTAATCACTGATATGTGTAACTGCTTACACCTGTAATCACTGACATTTATAACTGCTTAAACCTGTAATCACTGATATGTGTAACTGCTTACACCTGTAATCACTGATATGTGTAACTGCTTACACCTGTAATCACTGATATATGTAACTGCTTACACCTGTAATCCCTGATATGTGTAACTGCTTACACCTGTAATCACTGATATGTGTAACTGCTTACACCTGTAATCACTGACATTTATAACTGCTTAAACCTGTAATCACTGATATGTGTAACTGCTTACACCTGTAATCACTGATATGTGTAACTGCTTACACCTGTAATCACTGATATGTGTAACTGCTTACACCTGTAATCACTGATATGTGTAACTGCTTACACCTGTAATCCCTGATATGTGTAACTGCTTACACCTGTAATCACTGATATGTGTAACTGCTTACACCTGTAATCACTGATATGTGTAACTGCTTAAACCTGTAATCACTGATATATGTAACTGCTTACACCTGTAATCACTGATATGTGTAACTGCTTACACCTGTAATCACTGATATGTGTAACTGCTTACATCTGTAATCACTGATATATGTAACTGCTTACACCTGTAATCCCTGATATGTGTAACTGCTTACACCTGTAATCACTGATATGTGTAACTGCTTACACCTGTAATCACTGATATGTGTAACTGCTTACACCTGTAATCACTGACATTTATAACTGCTTAAACCTGTAATCACTGATATGTGTAACTGCTTACACCTGTAATCCCTGATATGTGTAACTGCTTACACCTGTAATCACTGATATGTGTAACTGCTTACACCTGTAATCCCTGATATATGTAACTGCTTACACCTGTAATCCCTGATATGTGTAACTGCTTAAACCTGTAATCACCGACACAGGTAACTACTCCCTCTAACTCAGAAACGTTGTGTTCGATCAGCTCACAAGGCTGTGTTGGTTTAGTGATAGTAGCATGATGAGAACATATTCTCCCCAAATTTTCAAAGATAAGATTCTTATATACCCATCAGCAGTTGTGTGTTATGAGAAAGTTGCTTTTTTAATTTAAAAATCAAATTATATTTTACAAAATAATACCATGCAGAAGTGTGACAAAATCAAGGTATTTAGTTCCTTTTGCCCGTCGGGTTTTTGGTCCATCCAAAGAAGGGGGCGGTCAGGTAGCCTAGTGGTAAAAGCGTTCGCTCGTTAAGCCGAAGACCCGGGTTCGAATCCCGACATGGGTACAATGTGTGAAGCCCATTTCTTGTGTCCCCCGCCGTGATATTGCTGGAATATTGCTAAAAGCGGCGTAAAACAGTACTCACTCATTACACACTTATCCAAATATGGATATATTTGTTTCTTTGATGAAATCAGTCAGTACAAATACTGCTCACAACTTATCAAGGTATATTTATTATCCCATGTCGTTTACAAGGTAATCTGTGTGTACAGCCCTTCCCCATATAAAAGTACCGGGCAAATGAAAGTATAAACCGGCAAATTGCATTTTGACCAAAAAATTACAAACATTATCAAAACGTTACTAGCCTGAAAACTGTCGCTGAAACTCTGCAAACTTAAGGCCCAAAAGACATCCATGATGCCCATCAAATACATCACCATCGAATAACCATTTCTTGTTTGTTTCATTTCCAGCCACCCTCAAACATATGTGTGTACTTCCTTGCCCAGCAATTAACATTGAAGGACATGTTCTATGGGTCTGTGGCCTTCAGTATTGAGAAATGGGCGGTCGGGTACCTAGTGGTTAAAGCGTTCGCGCGTCACATCGAAGGCCCGGGTTCGATTCCAAACAAGGGTACAATGTATAAATACCATTTCTGCAGTCCCCCGCCTTTATATTGCTTGAATAATGTTTAAAGCGGCGTAAAAGCATATTCATTCACTAAGTATTGAGTATAAAAGACTATGTACCTCACTCACACGCAGTTTAAAGAATTTGGAACCCTTCTGATTAACCTAGGGGCACAGGTGGCCAAGTCGTCCGCAATTCGCTGTGCAGAGTTGCGTCCCTTGGGCACGCCAGAAACCTATGATTGTGGGTTTGAATCCCGGTTCACCCCGATTATGTTTCTAGGTTTGTCAGCACCATACCCGTGCTCGTGGGTTTCACCGAAGTGGTAAACGTCTGAGACCTGCGTCACTTCGGGCTTTCCTCCCACATTAAGCTGACGCGCCGCGATATAACTGGAATACTGTTAAAAGGGCGTTAAACCCGACTCACTCACTCACTACATGCTGTAACAGGGATTTATCTGGACCTGCTCAGAGGCTGATATTTAGCACCAAGTCTGCAAATGCCAGTAAATATTCCCAATTTGGAATTAAAACATTCCAAATTAACATTAATATAGTTATATTTAAGTCATATCTTGGTCTGGTTGACTCATATCAGGAGAATTAAGAGGAAATTTTTATGCTTAATTTTACATAATTGAATGCAATGTTATTATACAATGTGAAAAGGCGTCTATATTTAAGAAAATAGGATTTTTAAAAATCCCAATTTTAAACAAGGTAACACAACCAAATGTCAGAGCTATGAAACGATTCAGCTTCACATGTTTGGTGTTTAGGGCCACACTCATCAATAATCCAGCTAAATGACTTCAGTGTGTAAATAATCCAGTCTAGACCAGACAATCCAGTGATTGATATTAAGAGCCATGATCCAAGTTGTCAGGTTACAATGATACGCGATCAACCAAGGATCTGACCCTGATCACCTGATCCATTAAGTCGCCTCGTACGACAAGAGTACGTTGCTGGGGACCTATTCCAAGCCAATACTCTAAGGGGTGAAATTATATTAAAGATAAAGACACGCCGCGATATAACTGGAATACTGTTAAAAGCGGCGTTTAACTCACTCACTCACTCACTCTAGCCTAGTGTCCGCCATATTATTACATGAACCTGTTTTAGTGAACATGACCCAGTATGACTGGGTGGTTCTCACGCGGGAACGTTTGGGAAAAACACAGCAGGGAGATAAGATGGACGCTCCCATTTGTTCCGGACCACCTTATATTAAGAAACACAACCAGTGTTGGATAAGGTTACCCTTCTTTTTGACAAGATGAAGATCGCAGGTGAGTTTCGGCCTATGTCATGGTAAGAGTGAGTGAGTGAATGTTGTATTCTACCACAGACAGGAGTATTCTAGCGGCCTAAAATGGTGATATTATTCACAAAGTTATACAATCGTATAATGCCTGATGTGTTTTTTTCGCCGCTTCTACGTGAGATTTCGAAGCTGACGCTTAACTGCACTTTACTTTGTGTAGTTCGTTTGTTTGTTATTTAATGGCCCATTTAGTAACATACCAGCTATTTGAAGGAGATCTGTAAAAGTTTCGAATCTGGACCAGACAATCCAGTGATTGACATCATGAGCATGGTTCTACACAATTGGGATGCGATGGCATGCATCAACTATGTCAGCGAGTCAGACTATCCGATCCAGGTAGCCTCTTACGACAAGCATTGGTTGCTGAAGACCAATTCTAACCCGGATCTTCATGGGGCATCATAATTGTAGAGTGTATGTCACATATAACTGACGTTGTCAGGGAAAACATTCGGGATGTCATTGGTTGATGTGCTTTATCTCGTACCTTTCCAGTTTCCTTTTCTCGTGACTGGTTTGTGGATAACGTCTATTTGTTACATTGTTTCCGTTTCCAGTTGCCCTGATCCTGTCCATGTTGGTGGTTGTCCATGGCGAGTACGCCAAGAGACAGATCGTGGCTGCGCTTGCCGCGGCTGAACCCCTCCTGTCCAAACTCCTGCTGGACAAACTGGGCGTTGACAAACTCATCGGCAAGTTCATCGGAAATGTAGCTGCTTTCTTCAAGGGCCATAGCGGCACTGTAAGTTTGATGAATGCATTCTACCGATTGTAGTGATGGTTTAGTCAACGGAAATTACCGTATTCGACGTCATAAGCCCCCCGCTCTGATAAGCGTCCACGGCGATATTTGCTAATATATTGGCTTGTGAACAATCCCAATCAGCACCCCTTCCGATTGATCAATGTACACAAGACTTATTTAATCGTGTATTATGCACCCTTAATTAACGTAATTTGGTATGACGCGGTAAGGGCATCTAACCCCCGACCTTCCGCTCTCTGGGCAGACGCTCTAGCCACTACACCACGGAGGCGGTCTATTAAATTGTGATCCGGTGGTGTAGCCTCATGGTTAAAGCGTTCGCTCGTCACGCCGAAGACCCGGGCTCGATTCCCCACATGGGTACAATGTGTGGAGCCCATTTCTGGTGTCCCCCGCCGTGATATTGCTGGAATATTGTGAAAAGCGGCGTTAAACGATACTCAATAAATATTAAATTGTGAAAATAAAAAACAGAAAACAACAACCAGTAAAACATGGTTTTATGTGTTCATGTTTTTTACTCAATACATTTTTTTTATTGTCTCTGTGTTTACGTTTCCAGATACCACTTGATGGAACACAGCTTGTGTTGAACTACAATATACACAAGTGCCATCTGCACATTGGAAAGCGATTCCTCATCCATCGTAAGTAAAGTACTCTCAGACGTAGTGGCGGTCGGGTAGCCTAGTGGTTAAAGCGTTCGCTCGTCACGCCGAAGACCCGGGTTCGAATCCCGACATGGGTACAATGTGTGAAGCCCATTTCTGGTGTCCCCCGCCGTGATATTGCTGGAATATTGCTAAAAGCGGCGTAAAACCATACTCACCCACTCACTCACTCACTCTCAGACGTCCCTCGTGACAGTAAGGGGCGGTGGGGTAGCCAAATAGTTGCAGCGTCTGCTCATCACGCTTATGACCCGGGTTCGATTATCCACATGGGTTAAATGTATAAAGCCCAATTCTGGTGTCCCGCGCCGTGATATTGCTGGCATATTGTTAAACGCGGCGTAAAACCATACTCACTCACTCACTCACTCTCAGACGTCCCTCGTGACAGTAAGGGGCGGTGGGGGAGCCAAGTAGTTACAGCGTCTGCTCGTCACGCTTATGACCCGGGTTCTCTTATCCACATGGGTTTAATGTATAAAGCCCAATTCTGGCGTCCCGCGCCGTGATATTGCTGGCATATTGTTAAACGCGGCGGAAACCAATACTCACTAAATGAAGCCAGCCAGGGGTCAGGATACATATCATTATTTCCGTGTCCGGCGTCCGGCGTCTTCGTATGCCTCTGTGGCGTCTACAGAATCATTGGACTATCAGGAAATGGGGGTTAGACTACACACAAGTCACCGATCTTGATCCTTTTAAGATGCTGATGGCCACATCCTCAATAACTCTTTGCCATCAAGCGCAGACAACACAATTTTTTCTGATGATTAACTGAATCTGTCGACAAAGCACATCCCCATAATTCTCAAATACTGCTGTTATTGCTCCAGATGTTGCTGAGGAACGTTGCACGGCTGATGTGTGCGAGAACAAGATCACCAAGTCCTGCAAGTCCTGTACCAACGGAAAACAAGAAGACGCTCTCAAGTGTGCCCTGAAGGCCGAGGTCGAGGAGATCACCAGACTCGCCAAGGCGGCTCAAGCCAAACAGGGTTAACTCCGCTTGGTCTGACAATGTGTTTCCTGTAAACCTGGTTGTGTTTCTTCAATAAATGGCTTTCTCCTCCAGTGAGATTGTGACGTCAATATGGGTTATATTACTGGAGACATGTTTTATGTTCGATAGAGGCTGTTCCAAGTCACCAAAGCACTGCGGAACATATTTACGATACGTAATTATGCATATTTGGCGATGCACCGATTTCGTTACTGCCCGTAAAGTGCGTTGGTTTCACTGGAGTCTTTACCAGTGTGGCACGTACTGCCTACTGTCCGGGTTAGAATTGGTCCCCAGCTACATATGCTGGTCGTAAGAGGCGACTAAATGGATCGGTTAGTCAGGCTCGGTGTCTTCATGATAGCATGGACCTCTTCTCACAATACCAATCACCGGTTAAAGCTTGTTGGTTTATTGTTTAACGCCGCACTTAGCAATATTCCAGCTATATAACGGCGGTATGAAAATGATCGAGTCAGGACCAGACAAGCCAGTGATTGACATGATGAACATCGATCAACTCAATTGAGATCGATGACATGCATCAACCACGTCAGCGAGCCTGACCAAGCGATCCCGTTATAGTCGCCTCTTACGACAAGCATAGTCGCTTTCACAGCATGGGTTGCTGAAGACCTATTCTACCCCGGAACTTCACGGGTCACTTGTAATGTAAAGGCCTTTGCAGTAAACAACCGGCGTTAAACAACTAACAAACAAACAAAAAATACAAGTTCAAGAGAAATAGAATGGTTGCAACCAGCCTTCTTGACCGGTGGGATATGGTGGTGAAATTGGGTTTAACGTCGCGTCCAAGATTAATGCACTTATATAGCGACGTGCATGTACGTGTGTGTGTTTGTGTGGCTGCTTGTACTAGTCCGAACTGAGGCCGATTTATAATGCTAGCTCACTGACATACCATGCCGCAGTTGAATGAATACCCCCCTCAGACACAGTATATTGACTCCGAGCCGACCAGTCCTTGTTTTAGCCCCTTAATGCCGAGCGCCAGGCAGGGTAACAACAAGTACCATCTTTTAACGTCTTTTGGTATGACGCGGTCGGGGATCGAACCCCGGGCCTTCCGCTCTCCGGGCGGACGCTCTACCACTAGACCACGGAGGCGGTCGGTGGGATATGGACTTGGCTTACCTGTCCAACCCAGCTGCAGACAAGGATGCTGTGAATAATTGCTGATAACTATCAATATAATCACAGGTTTTCTGTGGGTGGAGCCCCTGAAGGAGTGAGTGGGTTTGATTTTACGCCGCTTTTAGCAATATTCCAGCAATATCACGGCGGGGGACACCAGAAATTGGCTTCACACATTGTACCCATGTCGGGAATCGAACCCGGGTTTTCAGCGTGACGAGCGAACGCTTTAACCACCAGGCTACCCGACCGCCCCAGACACATAATGAAACCAAACCCTTCTATGCAGAGCGACTAATCTGCACCATAAGACAACAATGTACAGATATTTTACTCACGAGCAGACTTATCATTATTTAGATATGTCACAAGACCACACAGATACACAGAATCAGAGGGGGCACGGGTGGCCCAGTCGTCTAAGGCGGCGCGATTCGCTGTGCAGAGTTGCGTCCCTTGGGCACGCCAGAAACCTATGATTGTGGGTTTGAATCCCGGTTTGCCCCAATTATGTTTCTAGGTTTGTCAGCACCATACCCGTGCTCGTGGGTTTCACGGAAGTGGTAAACGTCTGAGACCTGCATCACTTCAGGCTTTCCTCCCACATTAAGCTGACACGCCGTGATATAACTGGAATACTGTTAAAAGCGGCGTTAAACCCAACTCACTCACTCATTCACTCACAGAATCACAGAACCCTCAGACATCAATAAGAAGTAAAGCAACTGTCTAGCAAGAACAATACAAGAACAAGAACAAGAACAAGAGCCTTTAAAGAAATCCGACAAACCCAAAACGGAAATGAATCATAAGGTTAAAAAGAAATCATTCAGGGTTAGAATAGGAGATCAAGTGAGAATCTTTCATTTGAGATACCCTTTTCAAAGAGATTATCAAGAAACACGGACTGAGGAATTCTGCATTGTACGAGGACAGAACCCATTGAAAGACATGATCCTATAAAGGGTCGTTTCTATGGCAATGAACTGCAGAAAGTATATAAATCAGCTGACACTATGTGGGGAGTGGAGAAGGTACTTAAGATAGGAAGGAGAGCTGGTAAGAAAGAAGTGTTTGTCAACTGGATGGGATATCCTAAGAAATTTAATAGATGGATCCCAGAAAGAAATCTACAAAGAGGATAAATAGTGTGTTGAAGACAGGAGTAGTTCAGTTTACATCCAACTGCCCGTGTGTCAACATGTATACTTGCTTCCCATGCTTCAAAAACGTATGTCTGGCCTCACGACCTAGATCGACATATTAGTGCACAACATTCAGAGCATGATGTCCAGCAGTAGCTGTAGCAGCTGCAGCAGCAAAAATGATTAACTGACCAAAAAGGGAAAGATAGGGGAGATAGTTGGTTGGTTGGTCGATTTGTTGTTTAACGCCGCACTCAGCAATATTACAGCTATATGACGGCGGTCTGTAAATAATCGAGTCTGGACCAGAAAATCCAGGGATTAATATCATGAGCATCGATCCACGCAACTGGGATACGATGACCAGGTCAGTCGCTTCTTACGACAAGCATAGTCACCTCTTACGACAAGCATGGGTTGCTGAAGACCTTTTCTAACTCGAATCTTCACAGATGACTGCTGCCAGATTGTGTTGTGGAATGTGATAGTCACGTGAACTAGTGAATCCAATATGGATTCTTCCGAATTCTGGTCGAGATGATTAAGACACTCAACATATGGCAAATGTTTCACTGAGGCAGCACTGGACGAAAACCACGTGGAGTACTTAATTGCTTGGTACCGATTGCCTTGTAATTTCCGTGATATGTCCACACAGTCATGACTTTCGTCGCCATCAACAGTGGAATAATTAATGGCTTGGTACCGACTGCCTTGTAATTTCCGTGATATGTCCACACAGTCATGACTTTCGTCGCCATCAACAGTGGAATAATTAATGGCTTGGTACCGACTGCCTTGTAATTTCCGTGATATGTCCACACAGTCATGACTTTCGTCGCCATCAACAGTGGAATAATTAAAGGCTTGGTACCGACTGTCTTCTAATTTCTGTGATATATCCACAAAGGCATGACTTACATCGCAATCAAATGTGAAATAATTAATGGCTTGGTACCGACTGCCTTGTAATTTCCGTGATACATCCAGTCTGTCATATCTTATGTCGCCATCAACAGTGGAATAATTAATGGCTTGGTACCGACTGCCTTCTAATTTCCGTGATATATCCACACAGCCATTACGTACATCGCCAGCAACAGTTGAATAATTAATGGCTTGGTACCGACTGCCTTGTAATTTCCGTGATATGTCCACACAGTCATGACTTTCGTCGCAATCAAATGTGAAATAATTAATGGCTTGGTACCGACTGCCTTGTAATTTCCGTGATACATCCAGTCTGTCATATCTTATGTCGCCATCAACAGTGGAATAATTAATGGCTTGGTACCGACTGCCTTCTAATTTCCGTGATATATCCACACAGCCATTACGTACATCGCCAGCAACAGTTGAATAATTAATGGCTTGGTACCGACTGCCTTGTAATTTCCGTGATATGTCCACACAGTCATGACTTTCGTCGCCATCAACAGTGGAATAATTAAAGGCTTGGTACCGACTGTCTTCTAATTTCTGTGATATATCCACAAAGGCATGACTTACATCGCAATCAAATGTGAAATAATTAATGGCTTGGTACCGACTGCCTTCTAATTTCCGTGATATATCCACACAGCCATTACGTACATCGCCAGCAACAGTTGAATAATTAATGGCTTGGTACCGACTGTCTTGTAATTTCCGTGATATATCCACACAGCCATAAGGTACATCGCCAGCAACAGTTGAATAATTAATGGCTTGGTACCGACTGTCTTGTAATTTCCGTGATACATCCAATCTGTCATATCTTATGTCGCCATCAACAGTGGAATAATTAATGGCTTGGTACCGATTGCCTTCTAATTTCCGTGATATATCCAGGCAGCCAGGACTTGCCATCAACAGTTGTGTAATTAATGCCATGGATCCCGCCCTATGTTGCAGACAACCGTCATCCATGTTTAAACAGGTGACCACCTTGTAGGCTGCCGTGGTCACTACCAACATTGATGATGCAGTCTGACACGCGCACAACCAGCTGTTTCAACTTCATACATATCACTTGACGAATCAATCCTGCAACTTGTTCCAAATTAACTGATAACAACTATTGGCACGACCACCTCGACTCCACCATCGACAGCTGTGTGAACATCGGAACAGCATCGCTGTCAGCTGTGTGGACGTAGGAACACCAATCAGTCCGATTCATCTTAGTTCCAAGTCGTGTCATGGCAGGGGTTGGACGCGGAAATTTTAAGTCGTGAGTAGACAGGTATAATATGTTCCATGTACCATTTGTCTCTATGAACCATGTGCCATTTGTCTCTATGAACCATTCCGGGGTGGAATAGGTCTTCAGCAACCCATGCTTGCCGTAAAAAGTGACTATGCTTGTCGTAAAAGGCGACTAACGGGATCGGGTGGTCAGGTTCGCTGACTTGGTTGATGCATGTCATCGATCCCAATTGCGTGGATCGATGCTCATGATATCAATCACTGGATTGTCTGGTCCAGACTCGATTATTTACAGACCGCCGTCATATAGCTGGAATATTGCTGAGTGCGGCGTTATACAACAAACCAACCAACCAACTCTATGAACCATAATACCATTGCTCACAATAACTTTTGTCTTTGAGCACATATTCGCGTTTTCCTTTTTCGACCATCAACACAATTTTTTGTCAACAAAGTAATTTAACGAAGGGCCTGTGAATAGAATCGTATCAAGGTGATGATGATTTCAAAAGCGCTTCTGATTGAGCCATAGCGTGAAACTCTCGAGATTGTTGTAACTAAAATAGAGAATCTCACCCGAGTGTCGTTTGATATCAAATATTGGAACAGTGGAAAAATTTCGAGGCTTGCCGAGGATTTTTGCCACTTTTATCAACGAGTGTTGATATATTTGATATCAAAAGACACGAGGGTGAGATTTTATTCATCATCCAACATCATTTTTCCAACTTTTTCAATTTGTAGACAGTAATTAGCTACTTCAGTGTAAAAAGTACTGCTAACAGCTTCAGTAGGAGAGCCATTAGTGATGTCATTTGATTGTGACGTCATGGTAACCAGTGACGTCACAATGGTTTGCAAAGCATTGTGATGTTATTTTATTGCAGCGATATCTACAGTGTAGACATCGCTTGATCTAATCCAAGCCATATCTCCTGTGGAAGCCAGTTTTGGATGATAAAATATCTTCTTTCCCCCGTTACGAGGTTGCATGCTTTCGATGCGTCAAATGTTCGAGTGAAGTATACTCTGCATCATTATTGAAGGATCACCTTGGTGTAAAGGGTGTCAAACATGTGAACAAATGCCAACAAGCGTCAATAGGTCTGAGTATGTTTGTGTGATTAACAGTTAAAGAACATGCCTGTCTGGCGCTCGGCATTAAGGGACTAAAACAAGGACTGGTCGGCTCGAACTCAGTATGCTGGGTCTCAGTGGGGTATTTAGTGAGTGAGTTAAAATTTAACGTCGCATCGGCATTATTTCAGCCATATAGTGACCAGTGGGGTATTTAACTGCGGCACGGATGGCAGTGGACTAGCACTATAAAATCGTCATTTGTTTGTTGTTTAACACCGCACTCAGCAATACTCCAGCTATATGACGGCGGTCTGGTAATAATAGAGTCTGGGCCAGACAATCAACTGATTGACATCATGAGCATCGGCCCACGCAATTGGGATTGATGACTAGTCTGTACTTTACAAGAACACACGCAATCACGCACGCACGCACGCACGCACGCACGCATGCATGCACGCATGTCGTGATGTAAGTGCAATAATCTTGGACGCCACGTTTAACCCCATTTCATGGCGATAGGGTAATTCAGATCGTCAAAACACTCAACACATTGGACTCAACCCCTGCCGCTTAACTCACTCAATATATCTGAAAACACAAAAGAGTTACCTTTTTATTTAGTCATGGTAGAATGGGGAAACGCGTTTGGGTCCAAATCCAATTAAGCGCGGTTATATCTACAGGTACGCTAGCGCCATATTGAAAACACAGTATGTTTTCTGCTGCTTCATATCCCTTTACGACTTTCGTCAAGTCTTATCTCTCCATCCTCTTTTTCCTTCTGTTCGCGAGTCCGTGCATAAGTGAGTGAGTGAGTGAGTGAGTGAGTGAGTGGGAACCATAAAATATATATATAGTCTTTTTGTTGTCCCTACCCAAATCCCTTAAACAACTGCAATGGCGCAAATAAAGGGGGGAACGTAAGTAATAAGTGGATAGAGCGTCTGCCCAGAAAGCGGAATGTTAGGGTGGGGTGGTTCGATGCCCGGCCAAGTCATACCAACAGAAATTGAAAAATTGTACGTGTCGTTACGGTCCCTGACGATCAGCCTTTAGGGGCTAAAACAAGGACTGGTCGGCTCGTAATCAGTATAAAGTATCTTGAGTTGGTTATTCATGTTAAAATGCTGATTAAAGTGGTCAACCTGTTAAGAAAGAGTGAGTGAGTGAGTTGGGTTTAACGCCGCTTTTAACAGTATTACAGTTATATCGCGGCGTGTCAGCTTAATGTGGGAGGAAAGCCCGAAGTGATGCAGGTCTCAGACGTTTACCACTTCGATGAAACCCACAAGCACGGGTATGGTGCTGACAAACATAGAAACATAATCGGGTCGAACCGGGATTCGAACCCACAATCATAAGTTTCTGGCGTGCCCAAGGGACGCAAATCTGCATAGCGAATCGCGGCGCCTTAGACGACTGGGCGACCCGTGGCCCCTATTAAGCCAGAGGCTTAGATTATGGTGAATATTTTTTACTACGTAACATCTCATATCTACATATCCTTATTTGTGTAATCTTGGTGAATTTGGTGTAACGTTCTTTGAGAGAAAACTATCTTTAATAAATAATGAGTTTTGGAAAAGTTGTTTTCAGTCATTTATAGTGCTTGATATGAAAATCAACTCAGAATCTTTCAGTACTTTTTTAACTGAACCAATTTTTCATAACTCTAAAATTAAAATTAATAGGAAATCATTTTTTTCTTGAAATACTGGATTGAGAAGAGTGTCTCCCAAATTATGGACTTGGCCAAGGCGGATAAGGAGTTTCTATCATATGCGGTATTTGATGAAATGTATAATATCTGTTCATCCTACGAGGTTTGGTCAAAAGTTCTAAGCCTAACAAACAAAACCAATAATAGTGAAAGTGTTTTTAATTTCATTTGATTAATTTAATTTTTCATTCAATCTCCCTGCTTTTCAATACACTTCTCATATCGAGATAGTGAAGCTTTTCAATTCCAGTCAGGGCGGAGTTTTCTGAAGCCACCCTGATATATCCATTCACGGCAGCTTTAAAGTCATCGTTGTCGTCATAGCGCTTTTCACGAAGGTGTTCTTTCAGTTGAGGAAACATGTGGAAATCACTTGACGCAAGGTCTGGTGAGTATGGAGGGTGAGGGAGCTCTTCGAACCCACATTGTCACACAGCAGCCTTTGCAACTCCAGCAGTCAGCATTACTCGCCACGTTTATTTGATAGGACCTGTCCGGCGATGAAGCAAATCAGCATAGAATCGTCTTTTGACTTTCTAAGTTTGTTTGTTTGTTTGTTTGTTTGTTTGATGTTTAACGCCGCACTCAGCAGTACTGCAGCTGTATGACGGCGGTCTATATATAATCGAGTCTGGACCAGACAATCCAGTGATTGACATCATGAACATCGATCCACGCAATTGGGATCAATAACATGCATCAACTAAGTCAGCGAGTCTGACCACCCGATCCCGTAAGTCGCCTTTTACGAAAAGCATAGACGCCTTTTACGGTAAGCATGGGTTGCTGAAGACCTATTCTATACCGGATCTCCACGGGTCGACTTTCTTAGTATTCAAAGGATCACACCCATTGCATCCCAGAATACAGTGATCATTACTTTCTTCACTGATCTTGAAGACTTGAATTTCTTTGGTGCCGGAGAGGTGGAATGGTGCCATTCCCTGTATTAACGTTTTGACTCGGGATCATCGTGGTAGACCTATGATTAATCACCCGTTACTAATCTCTTTCTGAATTTAACGAAGTCCTGCTCAATTAGCTCTAAATTTCTCTCGCAATGTCGGTTCTATTTCCAGAAGATCAAAATTTCGAAACTTTGGCACCAACGAGCAGATATCTTATTCATCTGTAAATGTTCATGAATAATAGTTTCAATGAAAGAATTGAACTGAATAATGGTTTCAATAGACCCATGGCTTAGATCTGTGTCTTCCGTAAGTTCACCAATGGTAATACCTAATACGTCTAGCTGATAGTATAAGGTCTTCTATCTCCTAGATTGAGGACATCATCAAGGCTTGTTCTCACAGCTTTAAACATAACTGTCCACCGTTTAACAGTGGAATAGCTAGAGCACTTTTCCCCATACACTTGTGACATGCGGTCATGAATTTCTTGGGGCGTACTTTTTTCTAAAGTCAAAAACTTGATGAATGTTCGGTACTCGTTCTCTTCCATTTCTGTGTCCATTTAGACTAGCGTTGTGTGGTTAAAACTATTTGTAGTTCCAAGTCAGGTTCAAAGCATATTTATTTTGTATTGGTTTCTACAGAAGTAAAAAGTAAAGGGCAGGAAAAGTGGGAATTACAATTTGAAAACTTAAATTGGAACAATTTCTGCAAAAAAGATTCAGTACAATACGGGATGTAAAACTTCGTTGGTTTCAATACAAAATTACCAACAGAATTCTCACCACTAATCCTGTTCAAAATATTCTATGCTTCTTCTGGCACAATGAAAAGGAAATAACTACTCACTTGTATAGGGACTGTGATGTAATAAAACAATTTTGGGATGAAGTGTCAGTGTGGATAGACCAGTGTGTTCATGTTTTTATGACATTTTGTGCAGAATCGATACTTTTTGGAGAAAACTTAAATCTTTTTATTAAAATTTTCATTTTATAGATGCAAATTCCAAAATAAACATATTTTCATGTTCATAAAAAGGAAGCTTTTTCACGATATAACATTTAAAAAGATATGAGAGTTAATAAGAAGAAATTCTGTGGTGCTTGGATGCGGTATCATATACTTTTTGAAAATGAGGAGCAGTCTTCATTTTAGATTTAGTTTTGTACTTAAGGCCTTAATGTTTGAGACCATGTACTTTCCTGCACTGCAATATGATATATCGCGGGTCCTGGCCGACGATGTCATCAAGTGGACTGAGGCGGTGAAGATGGTTTAAAACGGTTTATTCTCTGTAAAAGAATCTGAATGTTTCATCTATATATCAGCAGCATAGGGACATTTACATAATACATGAGTAATTGTTTCAGATGGTCCATAACATAATAAACAAACTGGTGATTCAACACATCCAATTTTATATAAATAACAGTTAGTACTTAAAATATTACGTATAACTTTAAACTGAAACCATCTTAATTCAGAACTTTGTGTACATCTTCTTGTCATAACGTTAAAGTTTATCCACTCTGTATCTGTATGCTGTATAAATCTTTCCATTTACTGTAACACTTATGTTTTATACATTTAAGGCTTCATAAAATACCTTGCTTCTCTTTTTATTGTTTGTTTTTTATACATGATATGGCTGTATAGGCCTTTAGCAGACTTTTGCACAATGTTTTATATTGTTATTCTGTAAATACCAGTTTATTGATAATTGTACTCCTTAATAGGTTAAAAAAAGTATGTCTTCAAAACTGTAGTTTTGTACAAATTCATCAAAACCACGTCATATTTCCCTGTGTCATGAATGAAGTCATTTTTATATGCTATACCCTTTTGATGCCATTGTGGAAAATATATAGATTTACCATCAATATTGATTTCATTATTATACCATACAGATTTGCTTATCATATCTTTAACAGATTTTTTAACATTATCACAACAATTCAAGTATACTGACCACCATAACAAAACTTCCCTCCAAAAGTTGTTATTAATGTTAGGAATAATCTTTTCATTAATATAAGCAGCATCAGCCATGTAAATTACGTTTGCGCTAGTTACATTTTCTAGTGGAATTACCATGATCCAGTCTCTTAATTCAGCTTAATTTATGTGAAGCAGTAACCATTTCCACCACCGGGACACTGACGCCATGTTTAGGATGTAATGACATAATTTTCCTTATAACTTTGTCAGGCTTAGATCTTAAGATGAAGTAAAAACATTATGGCTGAAACTTTTCTGTTACAAGTTTGGTTAGGCGGGGTATACTGCAAAACAGATGGTGACAACAATGATTTTAGTACAACTTTTCTACCCATAGGTGTCAGGGTTCTCTTTTCCCACATTTTCATTTCCTTTTCTATCTTATCAAACCTGTTTGTGTACATGTAGTTTAAGTTAACCATGTTTCAACATCAAAATCTATGCCTAATAACTTAAACTGAGTTTGTGACCAGCAAAAATTCCAGTCCTCGCATAATTTTTTTTGGACCCTATCCATATCAACTTGTTTTTTTCAGTATTTGCAAAACATTTTAACATACTCATTGTGGTATAGAGGCTTTTTTCAGATCCATCTAAACGTAATGTAGTATCATCTGCAAATTGTGCAAGCAAAGAGTTAATATTACCCATCTGTATACCTTTTATTTTTGTTATTATTTCTTATCATTATTGCTAACATTTCGTCACAACGAATAAAGACATATGGTGATATCGGATCCCCTTGGAGGATCGGATTGCTGGAGTGAATGTGTTAGTGTGAAGTGTGTTATTTTCCGAAACAAATCTAAGATGTACTTGTAAGTTGTGATATATGTCATGGGCTTTCTGCTACCCTGGGCGGAAGCCTATTTTATGTAACAGGTGCTTCTTTTTTATAAACAGTAAAAGAAAGAAAAAATGAAAACAAATACATCAACAATCGTAACATCACATCTAATCACAAAAAAAACGGAGACAACAGTACGAAAAATCAGTGAAATCGTACAGGGATAATGCAACACAAGCCCCATTCTGTCATAAGCCAATCGGGGGCACGGGTGGCCCAGTCGTCTAAGGCGCCGCAATTCGCTGTGCAGAGTTGCGTCCCTTGGGCACGCCAGAAACTTATGATTGTGGGTTCGAATCCCGGTTCGACCCGATTATGTTTCTAGGTTTGTCAGCACCATACCCGTGCTTGTGGGTTTCATCGAAGTGGTAAACGTCTGAGACCTGCATCACTTCGGGCTTTCCTCCCACATTAAGCTGACACGCCGCGATATAACTGGAATACTGTTAAAAGCGGCGTTAAACCCAACTCTCTCTCTCTCACTAGCCAATCAGGAATCAGAAGTCGGTGGGCGTGGCCTATTGTTTAAATTTGCTTTGCGGAATCACTTGCAATCTATCTAATGATCATTGTGTCTGTTTCAGCTTTGTTGCGATGCAGTGTGACGGAAATCCGTTCAGGAAGGTTCATCAATAGTGACAGTTTTTAAGTGAAGACACTAAAAGTGGAAGTGTAGTGTTACTTAAAAGTGGAGATAAATAAGACAATACCGAACGCCATGAACTGCACGCGTATTGTAATAGCTCTTCTCATCTCTACCATTAATTTCATGTTTTTATATCTAACTATTTCAAGGAAGCCTCATTTTCAAACTATGGAATTTCCGTCAAATATGAAAACACGACTGACAAATCATCCAAAGACAGTATCGTGTTTTAATGGGATTAACGTACCAGAGACCATCAATGATAGTTTTGTGGAAAACACTTTTTCAAGATGGCGGACAAGAGATCCCAATGACCACATGCTGACGACTGAACCTTTTGGGCGCCTGGGAAATCTGATGTTTCAGTATGCGTCTCTGCTTGGTATAGCTTTACATAACGGAAAGAGGCCATTTATCAAGCCGGATAATATTTTGAATACAGTATTCAATCTTTCTTTCGTTGAAAGTTGGGATACGGAACAATGGCTCCAGATTGCAGAGAGACAGTTTGCAAGTTATTCGCCGGAATTTGAACATCTGCCAGCAGGAAATTATGTTATGGGTCATTACTTCCAATCCTGGAAGTACTTTCAACCCATAAGAAAACAAATTAGGAAAGAGTTTAGGTTTTCGGGTCTATATGAAAGACTACGGAGAAACATATTTCATCTTTACACATCTCCGTACAAGAATCGAACCGTGATAGCTTTGCATGTAAGACGGACAGATATGATGACACCAAACAATGCAGGTTATACAGAAGCCTCGGTTTCGTACATATACAAAGCTGTTCAACATATGAGGGACAGGTTTCGTAATCCAGTGTTCCTGATAGCTACAGATGACAAGGCCTGGTGTCGACAGAATCTGGACTCTGAAGATATGATTTTGATGACCACGACTAATCCGTTCGTGGACTTCGGAGCTTTGATTTTGTCTGATCACATGATCATGACGGTTGGAACATTCGGATGGTGGGCTGCGTGGCTTATAAATGGGTACACCGTGTACTATAAAGATTATCCTACACCTGGGGGAATGCTGGAAGCGAAGTTCACGAAAGAAGACTATTTTATGCCGCATTGGATTCCAATGGGTGGATAAATAAACAATAATCGTTAATTTAATTTGGGTGTTGATGGGTACTCGGATAGGCGGGTAGAGCACGGGTCGGCCGAAGGTGGACCTCGAGTCCTTCCTACAGGTTCTACTACACCAGATCAGAATCCGTCGTTTAACGAGCAGTTTTCGTAGAGCCTCCAGTGCAGACTGAATCATCTGGCAGCTGTAATTGGGTGATTTTGTGAAGAATTTTAGGTTTTTATAATGTACATCCTTCCAGTAATTAAAGCTGATCTTGTTATTCTATATTCAGTGCTGTCTGTTTCAACATGATGGCTTTTGCTGAATGTGACCACAGATATTTTCAAGCAAGTGACATTTGGTGCGGAACTGGGGCATCTGTTTACCATAGTGGATATAAGTATTTCCATTTGGTTTACACCTAAATGCTATTTTATAGAGATTGAGTTCGCAGTGTCACGCTACTGACAACGACATCACTAGTGGTGGTACGTGGACCTGTATACAAGTTAAGCAGAGCTGCTCGCGGAGAGTAGGTGGATGGGTGACCGAGTTCATCAAGTTCAACTTCAGATGCTCTAGGGTTTAGGCAAGTGACTTTGTGAAAAAAAAACATGCCCCTGTTCACCCAGCTGTGTATGGGTACCCGATAGGAATAGATGGTAATGTGTTAGCCTTCTAGCTCCTCAATGACAACGTGGGTTAAATACTCCCCAGGGAGCTGAAACTTAAATTCCACACTGATCCATTGACAAGGCTAACAATAAAAATACTGTGTATCGCCTCTTTAATCGATAAATAATTTACAAATTACATTGAAAACTACGAGAATTAGGTTTCCAATAGCAAGAGGCAATACACTGGATGAAGTAAGTGGCAACATCAATAAATAACAGGCAAAATAACATAGGTGAGCGAATGTCTAGAATTTGTCACTTTCGGTTGTGTTGAAAGAGCCATTTGCTCCGTTTCTGAAGTCGGTGGTGGTGGTCGGGTAGCCTAGTGGTTAAAGCGTTCGCTCTTAACGCCGAAGACCCGGGTTCGATTCCCAACATGGGTACAATGTGTGAAGCCCATTTCTGGTGTCCCCCGCCGTGATATTGCTGGACTATTTCTAAAAGCGGCGTAAAACCATACTCACTCACTCTGAACTCAGAAGCCTGTGATCGTGGGTTCGAATCCCAGATTTGTACTGATTGTGTTTCAAGGTTTGTCAGCACCATACCCTAGACTAACGCTTAGTCTCTGAAAACATATATTTTGATAGAAACAACCAAGTTCTTTTAAACTGAAAAGGGGCCTCGGTGAAATGGAATATTCAGAACTTATGTAACATGTAGGGCTAAGGCATTGCAGTAAGGTAAGGATTGGGGGGGGGGGGGGGGGGAATAGCGGGGGTGGCGGGGTGGGGGGGTGGTTAAGATCATTGCGAGACTGTGAGACAGTCTACACCATACTCGTGTTCGTGGATTTTTACAGGTAAACATCTATGACCTCAATCACTCCACTCTAAGAGATGAAAGCCGTTGACGTTCGCCACTTTGAAGAACGGTCGGGGAGCCTAGTGGTTAAAGCGTTCGCCCGTCACGCCGAATCCCTGCATGGGTACAATGTGTGAAGCGGCGTAAACCCATACTCACTTATGACTTTGATGAGTTGCTTGGAAACAGGTGTGATATTGATAGACTAAGGATCCTCGCTCGGGGGATTCGAACCCCCAACTTTCGGATCTTGGCAGTCAAGTTATTTTTTTCTACAATATCATTGAAATCTCTTCAAAATCCTGTGCGATACCTCTCTGTGTTGCGATCTGGGGACACTTCAATTTGAGGTCGCGTCACGTGATCTTGCTAATCAGCCAATCAGTGTCCACGTTCTAAATTTTAGGTACGAGTGAGCGAAACTCTCAAACAAGCATACCTGTTTTCTGTATCTCGAAAATGAATATGATCCTGGAGTGCTGAATGCAAATATAGTCCTGCATGGGTGGGTGTTTGTTTTATAGCGCTGATATTTCAACCATATTACATGTGCACGCGGGCTTGGGTGCCAGCAAACCAATGGTCATAATCTGGTATCAACAGCCCCATCTCTGCTCAGGGACTAACCATTAAGTTTTCTCGGGGACAGGTGATTTATTTTATCAACACTACATGTATAATATCTTTGGTCACTTTGATTCAAGATCAACAATTGTTTTCTCCGAGCCAAAACCACAGCACATTTCTTTCAGGGCATCCAATGAAGAAGCGTTATTTTTCAAAAGAACGCAACATTCTCCACTCCCCTTTGGTCTCTGGGTATACTCAGATCGAGAAATTCCGTACACACCGCGCGGCAAATGTGAGTGAGTGAGTGAGTATGGTTTTACGCCGCTTTTAGCAATATTCCAGCAATATCACGGCGGGGGACACCAGAAATAGGCTTCACACATTGTACCCATGTCGGGAATCGAACCCGGGTCTTTAGGCGTTAAGAGCGAACGCTTTAACCACTAGGCTACCCGACCGCCCCTCGCGGCAAATGTAACTCTTATTTATTAGTCGTTAAAGAGTCTAGCTCTCTGATTGGCCAATTACAGTTTTGCAAACAAAACTACACGTCAGCTGACTTTCCTCTACTCTCTTTACGTCTATCTCTTCTTCACATTGTCTATAACAATTTACCCTGTGAGTGAGTGAGTTAAATTTTGACGTGGCGTCGGCAGTATTCCAGACGTATCATTAACCCTGAAAGCTCCTCCGGTGACTATACTGAAAGTCGGATGACAATCTCGAGATAGATCTTGTCACACACAAATATGTCTCATCAAATAATTCTATGTAACGTGCGAACTCGTAAAGATACATTTATTACAATAGCGAGGTGTACGTGATTTTACGAACTAAACTTTCGCGTACAACTCCCAACGTTCAGCCTCAGTACGCGCCCATTCCGCTTGTACATCACAGAACCAAAAGCCAGATGTTTTACCTTTGAAACAAACGCAAATACAGTTCGTACAATCCCGTACAATATGGAGCACTTTCGGCATGTGTCCTCTCTCGTTTTCCCGAGACAAGGGTTGGTTGGTTTGTTGTTTAACGCTGCACTCAGCAATATTCCAGCTATATGACGGCGGTCTGTAAATAATCTAGTCTGGACCAGACAATCCAGTGATTAATATCATGAGCATCGATCCACGCAATTGGGATCGATGACATGCATCAACCAAGTCAGCGAGCCTGACCACCCGATCCCGTTAGTCGCCTTTTACGACAAGCATAGTCACCTTTTACGGCAAGCATGGGTTGCTGAAGACCTATTCTATCCCGGAATCTTCACGGTTCTGAGGCAAGGGAGTTAATTGACTATAAAAGTCCAGTTTCCACCATTGCCGAACTAGGCTGGAATTATAGAGTTATGGAATTTATTGGCTGGACTTACGAATCTATTCATTGTCCAATCAAAATCGCGCAACGAAATCGACATCCGGTTCGTAAATTGCAGTGCAGATATCGGTCGATTGCTGGATTTGCATAGCATGTGTACCGCCAACTCGGCGTCTTCAGATATTTTCAAATCATTTCATGTTATTAATTAAGGTGCTCACGTGATTTCACCCACTTTGCGAAGTAAGACCTGTTTCATTACGATATAATGTTTTGATTATCGGTCAGATCGTCTTGACTGGGCGCCGCCATTTTGTTTGAAGCCAAAGCAAGTGATGTGAGAGGTGGAACCTAATTTGTAAATACTCCACTCCAGCTATATGACGGGGGTATGTAAATAATCGAGTCTGGACCAGACAATCCAGTGTTTGATATCATAAGCATCGATCAACGCAATTGGGATACGATTACATGCATCAACCAAGTCAGCGAGCCTGTCCACCGATCCCTTCAGTCGCCTCATAGTGGCCAGTTACGACAAGCATGGGTTGCTGAAAACCTATTCTAGCCCGGATCTTCACGGGTCACTATATATATGAAATTCATACTTCAAATAAGTCAGTTCTCAATCATTGTTGAAACCATATCACAAAGTGATTTATTTATTCATTTATATGTCAACAATATTTATATGCTTAAAAACATTAGGGTGTGTGGTGTGCGTACGTGCCAGTGTGTATGTGTGTGAGGGGGAAAGGGGCGCTAGGGGGGTCCGCTTAGAGGGTACACAGGAAAAGAAATATATATATAATATAAATAAAAATGTACGCCGCGCCCACTAACAGACAACTATTTCCTGATTGTTTGATAATCGAATGGGAGGGTCTTGTGATGCATTATTGCGCTGAATAATGTCGCTGGTTTTCGTGATTGTTGTCTACAGTTTTTTGTATGTCAATGATTAAATACGCAGTCTGTGAGGTTACTATCCGATGTATTTATAAGAATTAATTTCAATATCTATTTGCGTTAATGGGGTTATAAATGTATCAGCCGATGACCAACCCTTGCGAAAATCAACGGATTTAGTTTGCACACTGATTCTTACGTCTGTACCTCTATAAACGCGAAACATTGAAGAGGGTGAGGCATGCAATACACGCCGGGGTCACAACACTAATAGGCGTGGTTTCCGTCACCACCGACACTATTATAATTATCACTTCTCCGGAACGAATTCCGGTACAAACAGCAGAACTGTCACCAGCGATTCTGATAAGGGAGGTAATTCTCACAAGCATACTTCCACAAGGACGTACGGTGGGTTTGGTTTGGTTTGTTGTTTAACGCCGCACTCAGCAATATTCCAGCTACATGACGGCGGTATGTAAATAATCGAGTCTGAACCAGACATTCCAGTAATTAATATCATGAGCATCGATCCACGCAATTGGGATCGATGACATGCATCAACCAAGTCAGCGAGCCTGACCACCCGATCCCGTTAGTCGCCTCTTACAACAAGCATAGTCACGTTTTACGGCAAGCATGGGTTGCTGAAGAACTATTCTACCCCGGATCTTCACGGGTCACGTACGGTGGGAGTTCTCGGTTTGTGTGCGTGTGTTTGCTCGATGTTTAAGCAGCACTCAGCGATATTCCAGCTATAGGGCGGCCTAAAAAAATTCGAGTTTGGACCAGACAAACCAGTCGTCTAGTATATGCTTTATCCTCTATAGTCTAGTGTAATATATATTCATCCTTTGATGATAATGGGGATATAACACACTGACAAATCGAAATATTATTTTTCATAATACACAGACTTGCGGTATCTGAATTGCATGGTAAATCCTTAGTTATCTTCAATGAAGTATTTGTATCGTACAGTGGGGGGTCG